AAGAAAACCTATACATAAATGTCTATAGCAGCTTTATTTGTAATAACTCCAAAGTGGAAGCCACCTAGATGTCTTTCGACAAGTGACTACCTATACAACTAGTTATGTAGCCATACCATGGAATATATTCAGCAAAAAAAAAGAATACCTACATGTCACACAATATGCTGAATGACAACAAAACCTCAAGCCAAGCCCATTGCTGTTGGGTTGATTCAACTGATAGTCTAACAGAGAAGAACTGTCGCACAGTTTCCAGTGCTGTAAATCTTTACAGAGGCAGACTGCCACATCTTCTCTTGTGCAGTGGCTGGTGAAAAATGAATGAGATTAGGGTTTGAGAGGGATTAAGGAGTAGGTGGGTGTGGGAAATGGGACTGTGAGTTACATACTTGGCTTCTAAGGATATGGTCAGCAATTCAAACTCACCAGAAACTTTGTAGAAGAAAGATGAGGCTTTCTGTTCCCATATAGATTTAGTTTGGGAAACCCACAGGAGATCTTTTTCCTACAGGGTCACTAGGTTTTGGGTGTGTGGCGGGGAGTGGAACAACTGGTGGGTGTGAACTTCCAACTTGTCAGCAGCTTAACTACTATGTCACCAGGGTACTAATGGTAGATCTCTACTATGTGATCCCTTACTTGACTTGAACTAACTTAAGTAGAGAGCACATATCTCTTAGCTTTTTACAGCAATGTCTTTCGTATTTTAGTAGTGTAACTCATCTTTCCACACAAAATCACACCAAATTCTAATAGTTCTAAGCCTTAGGTGGCATAGTAGAAAATTAATACCTCAGTATCCAGGCATCCTTCTCTCTACATCTTAAAAACCACATGGTCTGTCATACAGAAGCATTCTAAATACATTTTCTAAATGAAAATTAGAATCAAAAGTAGACCTTTAAAAATTAGGTGACATTTATGTAATTAATTTTAAAATGCAAACTTTCTATCTAGAAAAAGATGAATATAACAAATTGTACTAAAAACTAAACAAAAACCTTTACTGCCATAAGTAGTGAGAACAAGCCCAGCATCTAGGAAATCTTTCCCAGTTTGTATTATCGAAGTACACACAGCAAAAGCATTACTTAGGAAGTGATTTCAATACAATGAAGACAGAAAATTAATTGCCTTGGTTCTGACTCACAGTAGACCTACAGGGCAGAGTGGAACTCCCAAACCATATGGATTTCCAGGGCTGTCAATCTCAATGGAAGCAGATTGCCCCGTTTTCCCCCAGGTATGGGTGGTTAGCTGGAACCAAAGACCTTTCAGTTATCAGCTGAGAGCTTTAACTGCTACTGATGTAGCAAAGGAGAAAGTCAAAAAATTCAAGTTAGAATTCCAACTTCCCTGTTTTCAGACTTGAGACTTTAAACAAGCTACTTTACCTCAGCTTTTTTTACTTTATTTTTTGAAAAATTAAAAAATTTTGAGACCGTTTTATTGGCGAGTAATTTACATATCATATAATTCAACAGTTCGGTCATTTGATCATATCATGGAGAATTGTACAATCACCCCCCACTTCAACCTTAGAGTTTCCTGCCCCCCCATGGTTAAATCGCCTTTAAGATGATTTATGCAATCACAATCCATTTTAGTGCTCCCTCCCCCTCTGTCTTCATTAGTTACTCTCCAAATCCCTTTTCCCTCCCTTTTCCCTTCTCAACCCCTGTATTCTCTAAATCCCCTTGAATCCGTAATTAGTGTATCCACTCCTCCTGTGCTTCACAGCTGGGAGACCCAACAGAAAACACTAGAAATAAAAGTCGCGCTAAAGTGGTAAAGGTAGAAATATAATAGTATACAGACAAAAATATTAATAATGTGTAAGAAGGAAAAGACCCAAGTATAATAAAAAAGCCATGGAAGAGATTTCTGTCATGTAACCAGCACCTGCACCCAGAACACATTTAGATTGCTTCTATAGGGTGGTCAATTGGCCAGTGTCCAGTTCAATCCAGCGTCATCAAGATTACAATGGTCTCTGCTTGATACTAAGGCTATCAAGACTCTTGCCTGTGGCTGGAACTGGTCTGCCAGTGGCTCAGTTTCCTTTCCTTTACAATGGCTGTAACTATACCAACCTCAAAAGTTAATCACAGAAATTAAGTCTATGTGTTAAATAGCACAGTTCTTTGATTAAGATGTTCATTTTCAGGGGAAAGTCTTAAGTCACTAATATATTGGTGGCTCGGTCCAAACTGGCTAATAATAGTCTTAATAGTCTACCAATGTTTTCCTTTTAGAGAACAGCATGTAGGGGTAGGGTAGGTGGGGATGAGTGGCTATGAACAGAGACCCCATGTTTATTACAATTTCTTAAAAACTGTGAACAGACCTAGGAAACCAGTGAATAATCTAAACTTTCAGAAATACCAATGCAAGTCTAATATTTAAGCTAACCCCCATACAGACTCATAAGAGTTAACTAAATGATTACCTCAAAACTTTTTAAGTTTAGGAAAACTATTTTCCCACAACTAAAAAGAATTGTATGCCAAAAAGCTTACCATTGGGGGGTGAGGGTGGGAGAATCAAACACAGTAATAATAAGTCTCCAAGATTATTGTAGATAAAAAAAGAAATGGGTTTAAATTATAACACTGGAAATCTGATTACTTAGTGAAGCTTTCAAATTTCTACTTAATTAAAAACCTTTAAAATGAAAGGACATCTCATTAAGATGATATTTGAAGTATGTTCTTCTTAATCAGTGAGGCCTAGCATGCTGTGATGTACTGATATACTGGAATAGGAAACATTTTATTCATTTAAGTCGCGAGTTCAGACTTTCTCTATATTAGGCTTATCAACTAGGGCAACACAGTTCATTTCTAAGGGCATATGTAAAACTGAGGGATGAGGAGAACTTTAGACTTGTTACAATAATTCAGGAAGGAGTGAAAAATACCATATATACTAGAGTATAAGCCGACCCTAATTTTCCCACAAAAAACTGCATTAAAAATGTGCTGGAAAGTGGGCTTATACATGAGCATATACGGTACTAACTGATGGCCACATACCACAGCATCCTACTCTTCGACCTCCATCAAGAAACTTTATAAATGCTCCTCCCAACTCTCGGCCCTAAAGAAGTTTTATCAGAACACTTCCTCTAATCCATTTAATACGATCTAAATTCAGAAAAAAAATCGAAATTCGGGGTTCATTTGGAGATTAGAAGATAGAGAATTTGCAATTCACTGACAAGTATCTTAGTTTCCACCACTGTCTAATGCTATCTTCTCAGGCCTTGTTTCATTATACTCAAGTACAGTCCTTTTCAAAAGCCTAGGCTCAGTTTCCCCTCCAGCATTATGTATTTCACCCTTACTCCAAATCTAAAGTTTTTGAGACCATCAGATAATATGCTGATACTCTGAAATCTTAAAATTATGAAAAAATGTACATAGAAGATTTAGGCTATTAAGTTAAAAAATAAAGCTTTATATTTCACAATATTATTATAAAAAATGAGTACACTGAATTATTACAGATTTAAAAATTAAAACCTTTAACACGTACCCTTTTGTCTTATTTTAAATTTCAACTAATTTTATTCCTAGAAGTTACTCACAAGATTCAAAAGTAATACAATGTGGTCAATTGAGGGAGGATAATTTAGATTTTAAGTGGCAATCCTACGTAATAGAAAATTGTTTTCTGATCCAACAGAATTTATTTGAGCATCTCCAAGATTATCTAGAATACAGCTGTAGGCAGATAGGTAGCAGGATCATAAATGAGTAAACAAAAGCTTCTGGGGCCATTTCAAGTGTTGAACAACTGCTTTCATTTTGTAAAGCTCTAGTAATAACCACTCTCACACAGCAACACTGGAGGAATTCAAACTACCAAACTTTTGGCTACCAGTGGAGTGCAAACCAATATACTATAAAGAACATTAACTTGTATAAAACAGAGTAACAGAATAAAAAGTAGAGTATGCTAGACCGAACATTAAGAAACATATGGTATATTCTGGATTCTAGCTCTAACACTACATAGCTATGTAATCTTTGGCTATTTATCCTTCTGGATCCAACTCCTCATCTATAATAGAAGTGGGAATGTTTATTTTACTTTCTAGTCTAGAAACCACCATGTAGTGCATATAAGCAAAGTCTTTTACTCAAGAAAAACATAAAATCTCTACGTATTAATGTTCACTTTTAAAGGAAATAATAAAAGGGACTGGAAATTCAAATACAATATTTTAAGTGCCATATTAGCAAATAAACTATTTTTTAAGAGGGCATTTTGAATTTAAGGAGAGGCATGTAGTAAAAAGAATAGCTAAACATGTTAATAAAAGCATGAACACAATAGAAAACCACATGGCTAATTATCCTCACTTGTTTGCCTGAAAAATACTGGTAATGTATTTTCTTTAATGATTTTGTGTTGACAACTAATAACACCCTGCAAGACCATTAGGAATATGACCTAACATAAAATTTATAATGACTGACTCTAAGACATATTACTCAAAAATGCCAAAATCAATTTATTTTATCTAAAAAATTATCATTTATGAACACATTCAAAAGCAGAATCATAAACTGACAGCATACAATTATAATATGGCTGAAGATTGCAGCACAGCATTTTTGCTTCTTTGTGAAATTCATTTGGCAAAAAATAAATCATAAAATATCATGTAAGTGTATTTTAATTTTTCTTTTTATAAAGAAATATAAAATTGAAGAGAAGAAGCCCTGAGTTTAACACACCCAAAGAACAAACTCCTCCGACATGAGAATTCTATATTCAGAGAAGGGAAACCTTTAGTGCTCGAAGAAAAGGAATGCCTTTTCTGAGACCACCAGGTAATTCTGTTAATCCCCTAAATTGATTGCTATAGATCAAACAAGATTTAATTATTTTAAGAGTAAAACCTTACTTCTATAAATTAGGAAGCACAAAATATCAATTAAGATCTTCAAATAGGCCATCAAATTGTTTTTTTAAAAAATTTGTCTTACTGTAACGAAGTCATTCCCTTTAACCATTCTTCCTTGGTAAAAAATCCCATGCTTTCAGCCTCCAATTTCCACGCTAAAACTAACATAATAATCTGGAAAGAACAGAACATAAACGACAGGGGAAAAGTCAGCAGAGATAATCATGTCTATATTTACTATGGAGAGCACTTTTATACAACTATTTAAAGAACATAACCTCTGGAATTATCAACTATAAAGAAACTGGGATGGGCCAATTTCTTACAGTAAAGAAGTTCTAATAGCTTATGAAGGTGGAATTTCTCTCATCCTATTATAAATGATATTTGTAACAAGAAAAACAACTGTTCAATTTAAACTAATTAAAAATACCCTAAAATGCAAATCTGTAGTAAACATGAAAAACTTCATACAGAAGTGTTTATTTAGAAATGTAAAAGTATGCTATATCCCAACCGTATTCCTTTCTACTCAGAAGTGAAACATACATTTTCAGGTTCAACACCAATGTCTTCACAAAATTTCTCCATTCCTTCTGGCCCTACAACTTCGTCAGGACCTTGGAAAGACAAAAATAATTTGCTATTTTAGTATCAACATAAAACATAAGCTCTTATATTAAAGGCATCTAGAAGAAACCATGTTATAATTGAAATAATTGAATTTGAACTTAGAGATTAAAAAAAGCACTTGTTACAAAATTTAAAAATTTTTCATTTTCGACAGATTCACATTGCAACATGAAATTACATTATTAAAAGAAGTAAAAAGAAGGACAATAAAACTCCAATAAAACCAGCCACTAGTTTATCCAATAACTTGGGCCTATCTTAAAAAAACCTAAGTGAGTCTACTTTAAGTAAGATCCTTAGCAAGGTAAAAACAGATACTTAAGTTTGGAAATTCTTACTGTACCAGAAAGTGTCAATACCACAGGTCAATACAGCAATCAGGAGGAAAATATTTACTTGTTTACTTACTAAAATCGGACATTCGTCACCCTTTTGGAATAGTCTCAAATATAATTCTGGAAAAAGATATACAAGTAAACAGAAACAACAACTTAAAGAAATTACTACATTCTATTTCCAAAAGGAGATATTTTCCTTGTCACCTTGGTTCTAAAACAGCCAACAAGGTATTAATTTCCACTCTATGGTAGAAACAAAAGTTTAATCCCTCAACTGGTTTACCAAATTAATTAACAAACTGTATTTAGTCTACTTCCCATGTTAGCATTGCTAAAGTTAACCCAATACATTAATTCTCACATTTTTAAATCAAATCTACAAATATCAGTGTCATCTCATTTCTAGTGTAAGACTAAGCAAATTTTTACAATAATAAAAGTGATAAAAATTTACTTAATACTCTGACCTTTGAAAAATACAGTACTGAAATGTTAGAAAGTAATCATGTAGAAGCCTGCTTTTCTATTTAAAGGGCTAAAAATGCTCTTATCTTTATAGATCATAGACTAATGTTATCGGCTGCCCAGATGGCATTTTATAATACTACCATCAGGTTGAATGCAAGGCTCTAGGATTTTTCTAAATAAAAAAATGTAGCCATCCAGTATGTAATGAATATTGCTACCTGAGATGTGATCCAGGATGCTAAGAGGAAGTTAACAAACACATGGTTTAAAAAACACAATATTTTTTCCTTTTACTGTTTTGTGTAATGTGCAAAAATATTATTAGGTGTAAATATGCATGTTCCTTTTGTTACTTATCATTTCTCTTACAGAATATGTGGTTTGCATAAAAATAAAATGAAAAAGCTTATTGGAAAGGAAAGCTGCTATTAAAGTATCATAGGAATATATTTTACATCTCTCTCTTGAATGCAGTAAAAACACAGACTTGTTCTGAAAGCTGCAATTCCTGGTTAGAAGAGAAAGCTGAAGAACTATGTCAGTTACTATCATAGAATGCAGCCCCCACCTAGACACTGAGGAAAATCTATTTTAATTAATGATGAAAAACTTGATTAGAATCATGCTAAATTGTTAAATAAAGACACAGAGGCTCTTTAAAGTCCAAATAAGGTCTGTAAATGTTAACTGACTTTCCCAAAGTAATACCAATATCAACTGATCTCACAATGTCATATTCTTTATTTAACTTAATACTCTACTTTTTGAACCATGCCATTCCAATAAAATTACTTTCTGGTTAAAAACTGTGGAACCAAATTTTACAAACTCTTTTAGGACACTAGATTTCCATGCACTAAATATTTGAATGAATTGAAAAAGTATCTTTAGGATGAGAAAAAGTTAAGATAATATCCTAAGCTTTACATTGAAAAAGCTATGAAAATGATTTCACTACTCATTCTACCAGCCAGGTACTAAGTAGGACTGTGTAAATCTACCCTTTTCTGATTCTTTATCAAACTTTAAAAGTGCCCTTTCACTTCCTGTCTTTGCAAATTCATAAGCCTAATAAATTGAAAAATCTCTATTTTAGATATCACTCAAGACTGAGAAGTCTTGTGAAAGAGCAATGTTTTAATAGACTTATCACACATGACATATTAACATCACAGTAACATGCTCAGTGATTTTTTTAAAACTAAAAGAACATCAACAACACACCACTCATTTCCTAATTTTAAAAAAGTGAACTGCAACCGTAAAGAAATGTCCTCAGCTAATGTGCCGGGTCTAAGCCCATGCAAGTTATATCAGATCTTTGGAGGGAGGCGTGTGCTCAATCAGTGAAACGGCACCTTCTACATTAGCTGCCTTAGATTAGTGTTGTAAGAATATATAACTAATCAAGCCAATGCTGCAGCTCAGAAGCTATTATTCTTTTATAATAATAGACAACCTCCAGTTCTGATTATACACCGGGCACTGACCAAGTGCTTCACATGACACAGCTGCTGTATCCATTTTAACAAATGACATCCCCATTTTAAAACGGAAGTTACCACTTATTTGGCAAACAGCTGGTTCCTCCCTGTCAATCAGGTTTCTGTCCAGTCACTTCAACAAAAAAACTTACACAATTAACTCTAAAAGTCCATCACTCTATTACTGTCTACTCCTGAGCTTCATTATGTTTATGACCTTTATAGATCTCTGCAATCTGTTATGATCTTGCTCATTTGTTGACTTTTCCCCATTACAAGGTAAGTTGCCCTAAGGGCAGATCTGAATTGAGTTTGTCCACTACTACATCCCCACGACACAGTAACAGACACTCAGATATTCAATAAGTATTAGTTGTATGAAACTAATGAATGTAAGTTACCCAAATGCACATGTTCTTTTTTCCTTTTTAAAACTGAAAAATAAACATGCAAGGTAGTACTAGTAAACAGTATGAGTTTTATAATCAGACATGGGTTTGAATCCTGACTCTTGTCACTCTGACCTTGGGCAAAGCACTTAATCCAAGTCTCATGTTCTCATCTACAATATTGGGATAATACCACCTACCTAACGGAACAGACTTTAGAAAAATTGATATAACTAGCACAATTCCTGGAACATACCTTATTTTATGCTACTCAGCGAAGTCTCTAGGAGAGCTGAAGCAAGTAATCTGACAGAAAAAAATTGCTACACATTTTAATGGTTCTTAGTAACCTTTATAAGACAACAACATAAGTTGAAAGAAGCAATCTTTTAATTCTGTATCATACACACCAGTAAAACTGGCATTTTGAATAATGGGTCAACATTTTAAACGAAGGTCAAAAAGACAGTGAATTCTCTTCATTTAAATTGGGTTAGTGGTTATCTTGGGATGCCAATAATAGCATTTCTCTCATCTACAAAGAATCTTTGTTCTGTTACTAATAATTTTTAAATTATGCTTTGAGATTACTCAGCTGATCCCAAAGGTGACATTACTGCCCTCAGAATTAGTCTCTTTCTGTACAGTTAAAGTTGAACTTCAAGTTCAGAGTATATATTAGACCTTAACTTGGATTAGCAATGAATATAAAACAAAGGCTACATATACTGTTCTATTTTAGACAAACACTCTTGAGAGTGATAAATTAAAATAAACAAAAGTTAGGGAGGCATATAAGAGATAAAAAGGGTCAGGGCAGGGAAACTTTAAAATCATTCATTACAAAAGATAAAAACCATTCGAAAAGTAAAAATATTTCACATACGCTTATTTAAAAGTTGGTACCAAAAGGGAAATCATTGTTCTCTTTCTTATAATTGCTTAGCTAGCTAGCCTTCATCCTGGTTTTCATTCCTACTTCTAACTGCAGCCTCCAGCTTTTCCCTCTCCCAGCGAGGTTAGCTCTCCCACGCAGGCTGACCCTTCCAAGGCTGAGTTCTATATGAACTCACACAGCGCAACTTCCTAATATATTATTACCAATTAGTTTACTACCAGTCTGTTTGCTTTCTTATTGTTAGTACCTCTCCAGTAAATCTGAAAGGCTGAGTTGTTGATCATTAAAAAGATGAATATATTGTGGAATGATCTGAGTTTTAAATCTTTTACTACGTCGCCCAAAAGTTTCAGAAAATGTTCGTTTCTTGTTCAGAAAACTTTCAAAAGAATATTGAATAGAAAAGTAATAACTAATACATGTAAAACTTGCTGAATTGCAGTATGTTTTGCCCAAAATAAAAAACTGGGGGCGGGGGGGGAGAGAAGAACCGTGAGTACAAGGAAGAAAATGTGACTGTGGTAACAGATTGTACAACTCTTCTTGATATGACTAAACCACTGATATTGTCTGATATGTTAAAAATTAACTATATAATGCAGAAAAAGTTTTATTACCTACTTTGTTTTCCAAAAAACCCTGGTGGCACAGTGACTAAAGTGCCAACTGGCAACTGAAATGTGGGTGGTTCAAACCCACCAGGTGCACCGCAGGAAGAAGATGTGGTAGTGTACTTGCTGCCGTAAGAATTTGCAGCCTTGGAGAGCCTATCAGGCAGTTCTCTTCAGTTTGTACAGGTTTGCTAAGTTGGAACTGACTTGATGACAAGGGGCTGGATTTGGGGACTACGTATTCGAGAACACTGACTCTACTTCAGACAACAGATGTAAACTAATCAGTAGATCTCTGCTTACAAAATTTATTAACAGTAATTGACTTTTGGCTCCAGTATTAAAGAAAAAAGTCAAAAAGTATTGCTATAAAATCACAGAAACTGTTAAAACAAAAATATCAAGAGCCAGTAGTGAAGCTACTATTTCTGAACTTATCCTTCCATCTGCAGCTATACATTTCAGAAGGTAGTGTTATTTTTCTAACCCTTCCCGAAGAATTCCATGTGCTTCAATTTACACTATGTCAAAATGGCAGTTTTGACATCCTCAAATCCCAAAAATAAAATGACTGCCACTGAGTCAACTGACTCATGGAGACCTCCTAGGGCAGGGTAGAACTGCCCCTGAGGGTTTACAAGACTGTAACTCTACAGAAGTAGAAAGCCTCATCTTTCTCTCACGCAGCAGCTGATGGTTTCAAACTTCATTGGCGGTTAGGAG